GGATGAAAAAACCTACATGTTGGTCCAAATTAACATTTCCCTTTCCTAAGCATATTTAAACATTTTCTGGGATAATGGTACAGTAGCTGCATTCTAATCCCTTTCTATTTCTAGAATACTGTATCTATGTTTGCAAATGCTCTTTACATAGAATTTGCAAATGTCTGTCCTTCTGGTCTGTCTCTATTGAGGACTGTTGTAGTGTCCATATCTATTGAGCTGACAGTGCTGTCTGTTACACTTTCTAGTCTACTGTCATCAATATTCGGGCATAGTGAATCAGAATTTACAACGTCCTGAATTTCTACTTCAGTTTCCTCCCTGTCTATAGCCTCGGCTCCTGTTCCATTATTATTTGTTTCCCACTCTTTCTGGATGGCTGGTAGGCGTAGGCTTTCAATTACGTAAATTTTTTGGTATTGTGTCACCCTTTTGTCATATCTATGTCAATGACAGATGAGAATATTACAAATCACATCATCAAATTTGCAGATGACACTAAGATTTATGGTAATGGGAAGTGAAAATTATATTGAAGCCATACAAAGAGATCTACATGAACTCGACAAAGGGTCAGAAGACTTTCAAATGCAAGACAAATGTAGAAAATAAAGAAATTCCTATTTAGTATTGTGTTTAACCCATTAAACTGAAAATAATTAATGTAATTATTTTGTTATGCCCAAAACACTGTGTATACATAGTGGTTTTATTAAATGTATGTACTTTATAACAATCAGTTAACCACTGTACCTTCTGTATATTTTTAAATATACAGAACAGGGTTTTAATAATTGATACAGAGTATGTCCATTTAATAAGGCCAACTAACATGCAAAGTGTTTCAGGCATTACTGTACCCACCTTTGTTAAAAAAGACAAAACATTTCACACACTGTAGGATGAGTGCAGGACACAGCAGACTTAGCCTGCTAGTGGCTGTGGTGATGGCAGTGCTGGGGAAGGGTGACGGAGAGGTGCTGACTGGAGAAATAGACGTCGCCCCAGATTCACTGCAGTGCCAACAAAAAGGGCCGACTCTCACGTGTGATGCCAAGGATGGTACCATGGTCAGTAGTAGTGCTACTTACCAAGTTAACATACTGTCAGTATTAAATATGCAACATGATCTTCAACTTGTCCTATAGTGTGAAGTGTAGGCTACCTAGTCACCATATACTTATTCAGTTTCCCAAGCACAGTATAGTCACTGACCTGCTTTCCTAAGTAACAGCGTAGTCAGTAGCTGGGTATGTTCAACCTCTCCTCTCACTTAATATACATAATATAATAGTATAATTAGTGAATTATACTGTACATACTGTACTAATATTTTATATTATTGACCAAAGCATCAAAATTATGGAGCTTTACGGAAATCAAAAGCATCATAATGCTGATGCTACCTTCGGCTAACAAGTATCAGCCCCAATAGGTTCAAAGACTTCTGCTTAGTAAACATTATGTTAAATGCTACCATTATGATTGTTCTCATGTAATGCAGTTGTGTGGGGGAACTCCAAGCCCTCCATACTGTATGGCTTTTTGTCCCTTAATTTGGTTATGAGGATCAGGTTTCTCTGGTTGCAGTCTCTCTCATGTGATGCCAAGTGAGTGCATCTTTTCTGTGGAGTCATTTGGTTTTTGAGGCTTGTTTTATCAGACGTCATTCCTCACTCTCTTACTAAGGTGCTGCTCACAGATGGCTGCAGGTGACTTTAGCATCCCATGAGGTCACTGTTCTGTAGCCCTCACGCCCTTCAGTTCTGCTCCGAGCTATTTCTCCCCTATATAAGCAGGGTAGTGAGTCAGTCAAATCTATCTTTGACCTCCTAACCTCGACAAGTTTGGTTTTAACACCTGTGTCGCCTTGGAATAAGTAACATACTCCCAAGTTCTTCACTTCAGCCTGGGTAGCATACATGTTCATAACTTTCACATTCACAGATACCCTTGTGTTTTCTTATTTTGATGACGTTTCCTTTTCAGGTTCACACCTTTTCTGGGGTTGTGCAGCAACCCTCCATACAAGGGTTCCTTGTGTGAGGTGCCATGGTGAGGAAGCCTCTGAAGAGCCACTCATGGTTAAGCCCCAGAAATAGAGCATATAGGAATACTGAAATGCCCATTTTTTGGGACTCCTTGCTCAGTGGCTCCCTATTTTACACAGCATTTTACCTGCTAACCCATGCATTCTTAAGATTTGCTCAGGTTACAGAGTGAAGGGGTCCCCCTTGTTGGAGTGGTTGATTACAGCAGCCACACACCGAGTGAGCGTGTTTAGTGGCTTTGCAAGAATATACCACTTAAGTCACCAATGTATGTACCTTCATAACCCATTGTACCTTCTTATATACAGTATATAAATAAATGAAAGTGGCAAGATGGTATTTGATTTTTTTTTTTTTAAGATTCAGCCACGGAACAAAAGTTCCAAGCAGCACGGGCTATGGTGAGCCCTTAGGGGACTTTTTCAGTTGTTTTGGGTAATTCTGTTTTCCAATATTTCTTGAATGGTTTTGGTTTAATTTGTATTTCTTCATTCTGTTATGAGTGCTTTACTTTTTGTTCACTGTTGTTTCTCTGTGGAAGCTTGTTTCCGTTTGTTAGAATATTTACGGTCACTTAAGCTTATCAGTAAGCCTCTTTTGTCTGTACTGTTGGCTATACACTCTACGTTAGATCATCCATCAAGGCATATTGGAAATGCATTTATTTATTTTTCCTGTCAGTAACCAAACTGTTGCTGTTAAATTTATTAAATACCTTCTCACAGTGTATGTTTATTAAACACTTAGTTTAATAATGAAGTCATTAACACAATGAAGAAATTAGTTCTTCATTGTAAAACTAAGGTGTAGAGAATTATCATTCAGTCGATTGTTATTTGTTAGTTTTACGTCGACCTGTCACAGGCTACCTCCAGACTCTCTCTCCAATATATATTACTACTATTACTATCCGCTATTTTTCAACCTCAAATTTGGGAAACTGAATATTCCTAAAGATAATATTTTGGTGATGAATTGTCAAGAAAGCCTCTGATATTTATGTTTAGGGATTGTATAATGACAATTACTAGGTTTTTATTCTCTACTTTTATTTCAAATGTGTCAACAATATCCTCTGAGGATTTGAACAGTTCTGTGTAGGTAAAGTCTTTAACATACAAGCCTATTGTTCCAAGCCTTCTCTACTCAATCACATCTACAGTACAGTATAATATTTCCTCATATCCAAGTCTATTGTGAACTCAGCTTTCACCAATGTTCCCTTGTCCTACCTCCTTTCAGTATAAATTAGCTGCCCATGTCCATTCCTCTCAATATCTATGTGGTGGTTATCTGAAGGATCATATCTCCCATCTGTAATTTCTGAAGTTTACTTTTGTGCTTCACATGGTGTGGGTTCCATGCCAATACTGCAACCTCCACTATATGGACTTTAAAGCCTTTCTGTATATTTTGGGCCGTGGACAATGATAGTTTTCCAGGCTTGACACACTTCATTGATACTTGAAACCCTTTTAGTCTAGATTTTTAAATGCTGTTTTTATGTTTGCAAACTTCCCACATCCTGATGACAGTCTAATAATAATATCTGGTAACACTTTACTTATAGGAAGTATACAGGATCATATTACAGAGGATGCTTAGCAGGTACAGTAATTTTATATTTTATAAAACCCATTAATTATGACACAACATTTTGAGCCATTTTGTGTATTAGTCTTTTCTGAGGAATTGAAACAAATGCTTTCTGGCAGTCTACCCATTCTTTGATACTCGTACCTTATTTTAGTGACCCTCTCACATAATTCAATAAAGTTTGTTAGGCATTACTTTCCCCTCATTGAAGCTAGTTGTGCCTCATACAGTTTTTTGTTCTATCTTCATGTTTGTTGACTTTTTCCAATATTTTGCATGGAATGCATGTTAGTGACACTGTTCTATGGTTTAGTGCTTCAGGCCTGTCACCTTTATTAAATATTGGAACTTTTTTTTTCAGTATTCTGAAAGTTCTTTTTAGTGTTACTGTATGCTACAGCTCTAGTTAATGTGCAGCACACAATCCCTGCAGTGATGTCCAATTTGGCGTGGCTGCTTTTGCTACATCCAGTTACTCCAGGCAACATTTTACCATTACTACAGTAACTTCAATTCTGATTAGTTTTTTTCTGGCCTCCTGTTGTCATTCCTCCTTGGACACCAATTTGGTTCTGGTTTGTAGGCCTCCTGGAACCTAATGTTGAGTTATTCACACAGTCACTCTCCAAGCATGTTCTTCCCTGCACAGGCTGATCATATGACTCTCCGTATAAGGCTATGCAACAGCCTAGGATGGTCCTTTGCTTTTGTTGTATAATTGTTTCAAAACTGCTGCTGCTGTTTACATTTCTAGCCTTCTTAAAGGACTCCCTATTTACTTTTATACCCATGTCCCAATAATTTTCTGTCTTTTATGTTTTCTCTTTTCTAATTACTCTGTTGAACCATGCTGTTCCCTCATCCACTTCCCTCCTTGAAGGAAGAAACTTCTCCATTGCTTTAATGCATTACCGAGTTACAAATTCAATCATCTTATCACAGACTTTCCTTCCAATTCAGGCTCCTACTGAACCAATGAGCATTCTGGAGATAGGTATTAACCCTCCTGTAGAATCTTCTGGAATCACACACACACACTATGTCGTTTCATGGTTCGATTCCCTCTTTCAGCTCTAGACTATAACAAAACACAGGAACGTAATCTGTTATCTCATTTATTATGTTCACTACACCATCTTCCTTTTAGATAAACACCAGGTCTAGGGCAGCTAGGGCCGCTCCAAGCAACAGCCTGGTGGACCAAACTCTCACAAGTCGCGCCTGGCCTCGGCCGGGCTTGGGGAGTAGAAGAACTCCCAGAACCCCATCAACCAGGTATCAACCAGATTCCCAACTCTTTCTCTTGTTGGCTTCTTGATATGATGCCACATGAAGTGTTTGTTTGTTGTGTCCACTAATCTTGCCCTCCATGTTATCATCATCTCCACGAAGATTCTTTGTTGACAAGTCTATTTCTCTTTGGGATTTTATCAGAGTACTAGGATCTTCCTATGACACTGTGGCTGCTTTTTTATTATCTTCAAGTATGTTTTAGTTGTAGTGGCATTGGCAGCTGGCAACTGCAGCTGTACTTTATTAACTTATTTCTGATTAAAAAAATTACTTGGGATTTTCTGCTTAGACATTATACAGGTCTTTTCTGTAACATTAACTGCCTTTCACAAGCAAAATTTGGGTACCTAAGTTATAGCATGTCTTTCATGCAGCGAGGTCTTCCACATTTCTGGGTAAACATACTGTGACGATAATCTCCTTCAAGAGATTGAGCCTGCTCTTCCCTCCAAAATTACGTCTTCACAATTATATAAAAAGACTATGGAAGAAATGTCCAACAACGACAACAACACCAGCAAGGCTTGCAAGGGTGAGCAGAAACGTATGCAGCCCGCCACCTGTTCGGACCCAAATCCCCAAACTACCCGTTGATCGCTACGGCTCCGCTGATTGGTCGCCGGTCTGGCTGCACCTGCACTTGCCCCCAATACTACCTGATGTCTGGGGTCACCCCAACATCAGTCCTCAGAATGTTCCGTGCTTTCGTAGCCAGCACTCCTCCCAGCTAGACGTTAGCGTGTACTGAGAGAGGTGGTGGCTTTAAGCCAATATTCCAGCACCTCCCACTTAAACTTTGTGTTGCACTTCTTGTTATTTTGCCTTAACGTAACTTTTCATTTTGTCATTTAAAGTATTCTTATTATTTTGATTCATTGATTTTATTATAAGAATTTGTTTGTGCATTATTTTCATGTTTTGATTTATTTAACGTAATTAAAATTTCATTGTTAAAGTTTACTTGTGTTTTGTGTGTCTTCTCCTTACCTTACCACAGACGAAGTTCCAGTTTTTCTATTTTTTTTTATAACTATGTGACGAGGCCATACCCCTAGCCTTAAACAGCCGAACACCAACGCGTTACCGTCACAAGTTATATGGGGGCCGTCCTAGGAGCCTCACTCAGGTACTGGTGCCAAGTGGTAATTTATGGTAAGCGTATTTAACTCTGTTAACGTAGCTTTACTATTTTTCATTCAATTCATTTTTTATAAGGTGCGGTGTATTGTGCATTACGAGAGTAACATATAGTGAAGGTGAGACAACTTGGATTACGTGGTGACTGTAGGCCTCAGTCATACTCTTAATTGGTCATCTCTCCCTCCTTTTATTACTCGTATTTACCATCTATGTCCCTTGAATATTTCTCATTCTGACAGATCATCATATTGGTACCCTGGTACTGTGGTCTGCCCCGGGTCAAGAGTACCCAATCTTCTGCAATCTGACTGTAGGAGGACAAAGAGGGCCATAGTTTCCTCTAGCTCGAACTTTAGTTGCTGAATTGGGACCTCAGCAGCAGTTCTCGTCACCAGTTGACACCTCGCACCCCTACACGTCAGTCAGAGATGATGATACATACAACGGTAGGAATTAGCTTATTTTTTCAGAGCACAAAAGTTCGCTAATTCTGTAAGTATCATATTAAATTCAGTGGGAAAAACTTGCTTTATGTCCTTTAGAGACTTGGCAAGGTATGCCTACATCCTTGGACTACCAATTTTACTTTTGAAGCATTTACCTGTTTCATTTGTTTTCGAAACTTTGTTTCATTTGTTAGTAGGATTTTCTTGCCCTTATTCTCTTACATGAGTACCGGGTACAAGATTTCCTGCGCCCTTGATTTAATTTAATATCTTTCACTTAACGTTAATTGTTAAAGATCACACAGGATAGGTACCAGTTGCCACGTTGTCCTGTTTCTGACATTTCATTATTGAACATTCGTGTACCTTTATTTGCTAATTTCACCATGTTCGTCTCCAAACTTTCCGTGCAATCCAGCAGGTGAAATAGGGACTTTAAGTCGTGCCAAGAGGACTGAACTACAAACTCTTGCACATGAGTATCAACTAGAAGTTCCCTATCAAGCCAACAAAAATGACCTACACAACCTGTTGCTGGATTACTATTTAGAGCAAGGTAAGATAGACTCTGAAACTCATGAAACTTACTATATTGCAGATAAAACTGACTTGGCAACGATGAAACTTAAACTAGAGCTGGCTAAGATTGAACGTGAGCAGCAAAGGAAGCCCGCGAACAGCAAGGGAAGCCCTCGAACAACAAGAACGAGCAGCTGCCATACGAAGGGAAGAACACGAACGCGAAGCCGCTTTGAGGAGAGACGAACAGAACGAGAAATCACCCTCAGAGAACGTGAAGCTGCTTTGAGGAGAGAAGAACACGAACGTGAGGTCGCATTACTCCGTGAACGTGAACG